CCAGCACATCCGTAACGGGAAAATCCAAAAGAATATCAAGTGGACATAACCCACGGGCTTTAGGTCGTGGAGCATTATTCATTTCACCAAGAACACGATCAATAACATCTTGCCAATGGCGCTCAGTAGAGGCAGAAACACCTTGCAGTCGGAGGCGTCGCAACTTAGCATTAATAGTACGATGTTGTCGTTCCGTAAGACCATTTGACGGGCTACCCCTAACTGGTGTCAAACGCCAAATATAAGGGAAGTCTCTACGGGCAACTTGGAACTGACTTCCATTATCAGATATCACAATAGATGGTACACATCCCCAATTGTGATACACGAAATTAAGTAAAAGCTTCACATCCTTATGAGTAGGACAGTATGTAGTAGCCCTACCAAGCACCAGACCAGAATAATAGTCACAAAGTGTAACAACATACAAACAGTTATCGAATGGACCCAACACATCCATTCCAACCTTATAAAATGGTAGCGGTACAAGTGTCTCGGGTACAACTGGTTGTTTAAATTGTCGATCTCGAGGCCTCGTAACCACCGACATACAAGCAACACACTCATTCGAAGCCAACCTAACAGCTTCCCGCATCATCTTAAAAGAAAAGTACTTACTCAACCGAGAGCAAACTGCCTCAATACTCTCATGAGCAATAGAGTGAGCAGCACGAGCCAGCTCAAGTTGGACTTGACGATCAGTAATTGGCAAAGGATCAAAATCATAATTACCATCCGGTACATCATCAACCAGTTTCTCCAGACGCTCTTTAACCAAGGAATCCTCTGTACAAAAAGGAAGGAAGTCATAAGAATCCAATGATATAGGTAATACAACAGTGCGGTCATCAGATGTAACCTTAGCGTCAGAGTCAACTCGTCGTTTTTTTGGCCCACCAATAGCTCCATCAATAGCATCAGACGAACCACTACGCAGTCGTACTACCAGTGCTTCATCAGTCGCTTTGTCGGCCTTAAGCAAACGAAGTTCCTCATGAAGACGTAAGATATCTTGCAACAGAGAACAACGTGTACCACAATCCGCTATATTAGAAGCAGAATCAACAAACTCATAACTAAGCTTGAGATTACCACTGGCCGCAAGAACCAAATCCAAATATTTTTGGTTCAATGCTTGATAAGGCCCACGAGAAACACGTCGTGTTTGTATCAAACTCAAAACCGTGCGAGAGTCGATCTTTACACGGAAATGCCCCGTAAACTCTAGGCCCGCATCACGTTGTAGGAGCTGTAGTCTACTCAGAGCCCTCCAAACACAATACAGTTCGAGAGTATTAATATGGTAACTACTTTCACCGCGAGACAGAACAAATTGCTCTTGTAACACGGGAAAAGCATAATCGCCACAATAATACAGACGATAGCACTGCATGTATTTACTAGAATCAGTAAACAACTCGTAATCAGCAGTAGAATCAAGCCAACGTCTCACTTTGGGAAGTTCACTTAACTTCACAAGTTCCAACCATGACCATACACAGCGACAAACATCATCATTCATCGGATTATCCCATGCGTCACGATCAAAAGATCGCCGCGCGGACAATAACCCAATCAATTTATGCTTAGTAGGTAAGAGATGAAGTGGTAAAACATCAGAGTCGTTGGTCAAACAGCTGAGCACTCGAAGTCCTTCACGATAGGACTTCACATTATTCTCATCGATCTTACATAAATCCTGATACTTATCCACTCGATAAGTAATATAGTTTGAAGTCAACTGTAATCCCAAAGAAGTCAGCTTATTCTCATCATCATCTCCAAGCACCTCAACCTTCAAAGGGAACCCATACCGAGTATAAAGGGATACAGTCGGATCACCAGAAACCTCACATATTTCAATGGGAGTAGTTGGTGACTGTTGTTGAAGTTGTCGTTGTACCTCCAGAGAACATGGCTTCACCAAATCATCCATAAAACTGCAAGCCGGCGGGATTGTCTTAGCATCAATACCCTGTAGAAGAGAGATGTCACGAGATGGATTAGGAAGAATACACTCCAGAAAATGAACACTATGTTCCAACGTAGCGGGAGCTGTAGACCCACCATATATAAGACGAGTAAAGCTCAATAAATCTCCTTTAAACCATACCAACAGCTTTGAGGACAATGACTTTAACGTATGGATTTGCATATACGCATCTGAAATGTCCATCAACACCAACGCAGGAGCTAATCGCATGCGTGTTATAGCCACACTCATACGATGTTGAGGATTGGTTAGGGGCCAACGCTTCATCACATATTTAATAACAGCATTAAATCGTAATAGAGGTAGAACGACCCTATGCCTTTTACGGCCTTTCACAGAATAAAAATTAGAGGCATACAAGGGGTTACAATGGTCACTATTTTGAATTAACTTACCACTACTAATAAAAGATTCAATCTGTCTAACACCCTCTGACTTTGCGACATTATCGGCGCGAAGCCATTTCCAATGAATACGAGGAACAGCTTTAAATAACAATCGATCCATCCACTCACAGAGTTGGATACAAATATCAGCAGCAAAATAATGATCACCAGTACCAGTCTCATGAGTAGTAATACGATACCATTCGTTCTGATATACAGTATGAATAATAGGATCATCAGAAACAGCAAACGTAGGTTTATCTGGTAAGGACAATGGTATCGTGTCAAAGTCAATAGAATCTTTACATTTTGCATTACTAACTTTAAAGACTCTATCACTCTCATCATCAGTAATAACCTCATTATCAACAATGTTAGAAACACCAAGAACAACATCACTCTTATCCATCGTACCCATAGCGTCTTCATCACGAACCAAATTATCATCCGGAGGTAGGAGTAATTCATCTTCGATCTCATAGGTAGACTGACAATGTCTAAGATCATCAGCCGAGCACAAAAATTGGGATATACTGAGAAGGCCATCAGTCGTCAGAACCTCCAAGCCAGTAGTTCCCCACTGTAAAATGTCACGTCCATAAAGTCCATCACAACCGGGCAAATCCGTCTCAATCACAAACGGTTGCCAGTATAACATAAACTTTCTAAATTTATCATCCAATAAAACCAAACACATTGTCACTTGACGTGTGGCAATAAGTTTGTCGCTCGCTGTGCTAAAAGTTCTCGTCACTGGAGTAGTCGACAGAACCAAGCCAGACTCAATCAAAGCGGCTTCTATACCTAACGTAATAATACTACTCGAGCAACCAGTGTCGACTTCAACAAAGAATTTGGACAACTGGGGAACCCTGAGTGTACTATTTTTTGAACCATCATCAGAACAGTACTTAGCAGTAGAAGTAATCTGCTTGAAATCAGTACTACCCTTAGTTGTTGAAGTTGATGGAGTCGAACCAGTGATGATAGTAG